TTGTTGGCCATTCTATTGAGAATTGTTTTGCCTTCAAAAAGATAGTGCAAAATCTGATTAACACAGGAGGATTACAGTTTGACTCAACAGATGTAAAAAAAACACCCACTACCGAATCATGGAGGCAAAGGGATAAATGCAATCCAGGAGGAGAATAGGAGGAAGGCAAATAAAGACGTTCATGAAATTAAATCTCCCTTCAGTTGGGTATTCCAACAACTCTGTCAGGCTGGCATGATTCGACAAGATCCTAAGCCAAAGACCAATGAGTGTGGACACTATTGCAAATATCACCAAGAAGAATGACATGAAATTCAGCTTTGCCCTGAATTCAGGGGGTTATTACAAAGATTGATGGATAATAAGGAGTAGAGTTCTTTGAGGAAGATAAGGAAAAAAGAGAGAAGATGTCTTCATGACAGAAAATTCTGAGCCCGTTCACAGAACAAGTAAGCCAGTCATTACTGTGAAACCATCAGCAATGAATTCTGGGTCGTCAATACCAAAAGTTATAATCACAGCTCCTTCACCATTCCCATTTAAAGACACCCGCAAGGTGCCTTAGAACTACACTGCCAATGTTTCATTGATAAGGGAATCTGGTTCGCTAGAGAAAATAAAGGTAGTTGAAGGTGAAGCACCAGGAGGCAACTTGATAACTGAAATAGTGAATGAAGTTGGTCACTTCACAAGAAGTGGGAGGTGCTATTCTCCCGAGGTATCGAAAGAAGTAGACAAAGTGAAAGCAAAAGGAAAAGTTGTAGTGGTACCGCAGAAGATATTCAACGATGAACTCCCACCAATGATCAATAAGCCGGTAACAGAAACACAAGCTCAAGAATTCTTGAAGTTTCTAAAACATAGTGAGTATAGTGTAGTTGAGCAGCTACACAAGCAACAAGCACGGATTTCGATTCTGGATTTGTTAATAAATTCAGAGGTATATCGGAATGCTTTACTGAGAGTGCTAAATCAAACGTTTGTGCCTGAAGATATACCAGTGAACAAGTTAGATCGAATTGTAGGGCACATAGCTGCTGACAACTACATAACTTTCACTGATGATGAAATTCCTGATGGAGGAATGGGATCGGTAAAAGCCCTCAATATCACAACTCACTGTCATGGTCATGTCTTACCAGGTGTTTTGATTGACAATGGGTCTGCACTTAATGTTATGCCTATGACCACATTACGAAGGTTACCGGTGGACAACTCACATATGAGGGCCTACCAAAACATTGTCAGAGCCTTTGATGGAACTCAGCGGGATGTGCTTGGAAAGATAGAGGTACCACTGTTGATTGGACCAACTATCTACAATATTGATTTTGTGGTGATGGACATCAACCCTTCATATAATTGCTTGCTTGGGAGGCCATGGATTCATTCTGCAGGGGCAGTCCCTTCATCCTTACACCAAAAATTGAAATTAGTGTCAGATGGTCAGTTGATTAGTATTGGGGCAGAGGAAGAAATTATTGCATCTGTGATGACTGACGCCCCATATATTGAGACGGATGAGAATGCTCTAGAGTGTTCCTTCAGAGCCTTAGAATTTGTCAATGCTACTTTTGTTACTGAAGGAAACAAGATTCCTCGCCCACGTTTATCTGATTGTACTAAGATGATTGTGCGAGAGACTCTAGGAAAAGGAGCCAAGATAGGAAGGGGTCTTGGTAGATGCCTGCAAGGGACTTTATATCCCAAATTTGTCATGATGAAGAGCGATCGCTTTGGGCTGGGATTTAAGCCTGATTTTCAGCAAAGAAAGAAAGAAATGAAAAAGAGAGGTGAAATAAGAAGAGCTGGACTAAAAGGAGAGGACATTCCATGGGAGCATATGTCTTTTCCTCCTCTAATGAGCTCTTTCAAGTTTGGAGGAGTGTTTGATATAGAGCAACAGTTAACCAGAGCAATTGACGAAGAAGAGCAGATGAAAGACAGAAACTTGTTCAATGAAGCTATGGAGGGTTTGGTCATTAACATGATAACTGGGGATGATAAAGCAGGAAGATATTTGGCTGGAATCCGTCCTTGCTTCCCAGGGGAAACACTGAAAAATTGGACTGCAGAGGATCTCCCTATAGTTTTTAAGATTAATTCAGAGTAATACCCAGTACTAATCCTTATACTTGTGCCCGCAAGTATTAAGGAATTTTCATAAGGGCAGCTATGTTAACTCTACTTGCTTTCAATAAAAGACAATCTTTTGTTTCTTAAATGACCATCATTATTTTATATTTTCATTCTTTATTCTTTATTCTTTATTCTTTATTCTTTACAGTCATTTCATAAATTTTGGTCTCCTTCCAAATATATATTCGATTCAATTTTTCCCTTTGCAGGTGTCACCATATCAATAGCATGAATGTTCATGAATTTAATACTGAGATAAACTTTGAGCAGCCCATATGTCTGGAAGAAATCAATGAGTGTCAAGATGAGGTAGAATGTGATGTTCCTAACGAACTATTAAGACTGGTAGAAAATGAGGACAAACAGATTTTACCTCACCAGGAAGAAACTGAGGTTATAAACTTGGGAACTAATGATGATAAGAGAGAAGTGAAAATCGGCAGCACACTTTCTGCTGAGATAAGGCAAGACTTGATAGATCTTCTTCGAGAATTCAAGGATATCTTTGCATGGTCTTACCAAGATATGCCAGGGCTGAGTACAGATATAGTAGTGCACAATCTTCCGATAAAGCCTGAGTGTAAGCCAGTTCAACAAAAGCTCAGAAGAATGAAGCCAGAAATGTTGTTAAAAATTAAAGAGGAAGTGATGAAACAGATTGATGCAGGGTTTCTTCAAGCGGCAAAGTATCCAGAATGGGTTGCCAACATAGTCCCTGTGCCAAAGAAAAATGGTAAAGTTTGCATGTGTGTGGATTACAGAGATCTTAATAAAGCAAGCCCGAAGGACAATTTTCCATTTCCTCATATAGATACTTTAGTGGATAACACTGCTGGTCAGTCGTGTTTTTCTTTTATGGATGGCTTCTCGGGGTATAACCAAATAATAATGAACATTGAAGACATGAAAAAAACCACATTTGTGACTATGTGGGGAATATTTTGTTATAAAGTGATGTCATTTGGTTTGAAAAATGCTGGGGTAACTTACCAAAGAGCTATGGTGACTCTTTTCCATGACATGATGCACAAAGAAATTGAAGTGTATGTGGATGACATGATTGCCAAGTCCAGGACTTAAGGTGAACACATTCAAAAACTTGAGGAAGCTTTTCCAAAGGTTAAGGAAATATCAATTGAAACTTAATCCAAATAAATGCACATTCGGGGTAACGTCAGGGAAACTCTTGGGTTTCGTGGTAAGTCAAAAAGGAATTGAGATTGATCCAGATAAAGTAAAGGCCATTCAAGATCTTCCACCGCCTCGTACACAGAAAGAAGTTCGAGGATTCTTAGGAAGGTTAAATTATATATCTCGATTCATTTCACAATTAACTGAAAAATGTGACCCAGTTTTCAAATTGCTTCGAAAGAACAACCCCGAAGTTTGGAACTACGAGTGCCAAAAGGCTTTGGAGATAATCAAGGGATATTTGTCTAATACTCCAATTCTGGTATCACCAGTCCCTGGTAAACCATTGATCCTTTATCTAACGGTCTTTGAAAATTCAATGGGATGTGTGTATTGGGGCAACATGACGAATTTGGAAAGAAAGAGAGAGCTATCTATTATCTAAGCAAAAAGTTCACTGATTGTGAGATTCGATACCCGCCAATTCAAAAGCTATGTTGTGTTTTGGTATGGACTACTCGAAGGCTCAGGCAATACATGTTATACCATACTACTTGGTTGATATCTAAGCTTGACCCTTTGAAATTTTTAATGGAATCACCAGCTTTAACTGGTAGATTGGCTAGATGGAAAATGTTGTTATCAGAATTTGACATTGTATATGTGAACCAAAAAGCAATCAAAGGGAGTATTGGGGCACATGACGAATTTGGAAAGAAAGAGAGAGCTATCTATATCTAAGCAAAAAGTTCACTGATTGTGAGATTCGATACCCGCCATTCAAAAGCTATGTTGTGTTTTGGTATGGACTACTCGAAGGCTCAGGCAATACATGTTATACCATACTACTTGGTTGATATCTAAGCTTGACCCTTTGAAATTTTTAATGGAATCACCAGCTTTAACTGGTAGATTGCTAGATGGAAAATGTTGTTATCAGAATTGACATTGTATATGTGAACCAAAGCAATCAAAGGGAGTGTCATAGCTGATTTCCTTGCAAGTCGGCCTCAAATAATTAGAGTCCTTAAACTTTAATTTTCCAGATGAGGATTGATGTGCATCACAACCAAGGAGGAAACAATTCAGATGATAAATCTTAGAGGTTGTATTTTGATGGGGCATCTAATGCTTTAGGACAAGGAATTGGAGCAGTATTGATTTCCCCGGAAAATGTCTATTATCCTTTTACAAGCAGATTGGAGTTCTTTTGCACCAACAATATGGCAGAGTATGAGGCTTGTGTCATGGGGTTAGAGCAGCTATAGAAAGAAAATCAAGTGCTCCAAGTATATGGAGACTCCTCACTAGTGGTGTATCAATTGCGAGGAGAAGGGAGACGAAGGATCCAAGTTAGTGGAATACCGAAGATGATCCTTGAATTGGTAAAAGAATTTGAAGATGTCACTTTCATTATCTCCCTCGAGAAGATAATCAAATGGTCGATGCTTTGGCCACTTGCTGCAATGTTCAAAGCAAATAAGAGTTGACATGATGCCAATTAATATGCAATGTAAATACCCCGGCACATTGTTATGATATCGAAGAAGTAGATGGTCGTCCGGTATTATGATATTTTGCAATACATCAAGCATCAAACTTACCCACAATGTGCTCTGAGATCGATAAAAGGACAACAAGGAGAATGGCTTGCCGGATATGTATTATGGGGAAGTTATGTACAAAAAGGGAGTGATCAAGTTTTGATGAGATGTGTGGTGCCCGAGAAGCAAAAGGTATACTTGAAGAAGTGCATGAAGGGATATGTGGAACACATGCAAATGGGCTTTCTATGGCCAGGAAGATCATGATATGGATACTATTGGGCCACTATGCATTCAGACTGTGTTGATTATGCAAGAAATGTCACAATGTCAAATCTATGGGGATAGATTCATACATCTCTGTCACTTTTGCAGTGATGACCACACCATGGTCGTTTTCTATGTGGGGCATGGATGTCATTGGGATTACACCAAAGGCTTCGAATGGACATCGTTTCATATTTGTGGCAATTGATTACTTCACTAAGTGGGGTTGAGGCTGCCTCGTATGCAAATATCACGAGATCTACAGTTTGTAAATTCATAAAAAAGGAGATAATTTGTCGGTATGGATTGCCAGAAAGAATTGTCACAGATAATGCCACTAATTTGAATAACAAGATGATGATAGAACTTTGTACTCAGTTCAAGATAAAACATTCTAATTCAGTGACCTACCGTCCAATGATGAATGGAGTAGTGGAAGCAACAAATAAAAATATTAAAAGGATCATCACAAAGACCACTGATACTTATAAAGATTGGCATGATAAATTACCTTTTGCCTTGTATGCATATCGAACTACAGTGTGGACTTCGACAGGGGCAACACCTTTCTCTTTAGTATATGGGATGGAAGCAGTCTTGCCAGTGGAAGTAGAAATCCCATCACTTCGAATTTTGAAAGAGGTGAAATTGGATGAAGCTGAATGGGTTCATGCTCGGTTTGACCAATTGAATCTCATTGAAGAAAAGAGATTAAAAGCTATTTGTCATGGTCAGATGTATCAGAAACGGATGATAGAGCTCATGATAAGAAAGTTCATCCAAGAGAATTTCGAGAGGGTGATCTAGTGCTAAAAGATCATGCCAATTCATAAAGATTTCCGAGGGAAATGGATGCCTTGGGAAGGTCCATATGTTGTCATAAGGCCTTCTCTGGGGGAGCGTTGATCTTGGCAGAGATGGATGGGGAAAAATTGAGAAATCCAGTAACTCAGACTCTGTCAAGAAGTACTATGCTTGAAGAAAAAAAAGGAACAAATAAAAAGATGAAAAAATGAAATGAAAAAAAATGAAAAATGAAAAAAAGAAATGAAAAAATGAAAAGAGAAAAAGGAGGGTTTGAGATGAAAATCCGCAAAGGACATCTTGAAACCAAAGGAAGACTTTGAGTTGAAAACCTGAAAAGGCGGCTCAAAAGCATTTTGAGATTAGGCATCAGACAACTAAATCTTCTTGAGGGTCTGATATTTTGAGAGAAGCTTCACATCTATAGATATTTTGGCAATTCTCGAAGTCCTCCAGACAGAAGCTCAACTCAATAGTTATATCAAGTGGATTGATTCAGGAACATTCATGCTAATGATCCATAAGGACATTTGACTTATGGTTTTAAATTTCCATTATTCATGTGATTGCTATAACTTTGTAAATTCAATTTCTTGTCAGTGAATTCAAAGTTTGTTCTTTCAAGTCCCAATTTTATTCATTTTTCTTATAAGTGGATTGACATGGCATTAAAAAATAAAAGATTTTTTTGTATTACTCTGAATTAATACTTCCAATTTCAGAGATTCTAGCCCTAATGATCGAAAAGATTAGAGTAAGATATGACCAAAGAAAATGCATGTGAGTTGAAAAAGCACATTGAAAACACTGATATTTGATATGCTGATAAAGATGAATATTCAAAAGGAAGAAGAAAGGATTTGTATGGGAACAAGAGAAATGAGAATTTGCATAAAATAGCCCAAGCAAAATGTGGAGTGCAAACGAAAGGACAAATGACGCATTTGAAATGAAGATTTGCAGGTCCACAGAGTTCATAATTTTAAAAGGACATCATGCATACATCAGTAGGCATATATAAATAGGAGCATGCTCATTCATTCATATTCATTGAAATGCTTTGAATGTTTTGACAGAAATTCAGAGAGAGTCAATAACAATTAAGATTCACCGCAGAATGAGGTGAACCAACATTTCCAATAGAGAGTTCATAATGAGAAGAACTCATCCGACAGAGGGAGAAGAAGTTCATAATGAGAAGATCTTTTTTGACCTATCACTCGATTCACGGCATTTCGAATCAGTGATGTCTCGCTTGAGGGATCAACATTTCCAGTGAAGAGTTCATAATGAGAAGAACTCATCCGACATAGGGAGAAGAAGTTCATAATGAGAAGAGCTTGTTCGACCTATCACTCGATTCACAGCATTTTAAATCAGTGACACCTCACTTGAGGGATTGAAATTTTCAATTGAGAGTTCATAATAAGAAGAACTCATCTGACAAAGGAAGAAGAAGTTCATAATGAGAAGAGCTTGTTTGACCTATCACTCGATTCACGGTATTCGAATCATGACACCTCACTTGGGGATTGACATTTCCAATTAAGAGTTCATAATGAGAAGAACTCGTCCTAAAGGAGAAAGTTCATAATGAGAAGAACTTGTTCCTTTCAAGTCCACCACAGAAATAGGTGACTCAACATTTTCAGTGAAGAGTTCATAATGAGAAGAACTCATCCACGAGAAAGAAGAAGTTCATAATGAGAAGAACTTGTTCAATCTAACGACGAAGGAAGAATAAAAAAAATGGTTGTCTTTTTCGTCTTTGCCCTATTCTTGTTAACACAAGAATGTGCAAAGAGGGGCAGCTGTAGACACCCATTTTTTTTTGTCAGAGTTAAAAAATATTATTAAATTATTATTATTATTATTATTATTATTATTATTATTAATTATGTTTATATTTTTGTGCAGGTCAAATGTGGTCCAATTATAAGCAACCCAACAGACCCAGATCAATAACAGTACCAAGCCTCTCCACCGACGAGTCACTAAGGCTAGTCACCTCTGAGCAAGTTGAAACATCATCATCACCATGTCAGCCACTGAACAGCAAAAACAAACAATATCAGTAAAGTCAAAAGCATATCACCTAAATCATACCTAACTTGTCAATATCCTACCAAAAACGAAGAAACACAGATGCATCCATGAAGATTAGGTGGATATCAACCATAAAATAGGTAGGATTAGAGGAACAGGGGGGGAACAAAAAAAAATTAGGGGGGAATCTAGATACAAAAAAAAAACGAGAAATTTTCACCAGCGATAGAACGATAGAGGGGTCTTGGTTTTCAACAGAAAAGCAAAGGAGACAAGGAGAATTTTCATTCACCCTTCGAAAAGCCAACATAAAACCATTGTAGTAAAAATCTCACTTTTGTATTAAAAAAAATCGAAAGCAATAGAAATACAATTTGGGTTCAAGGTATTTTTTATTTTTATTTTCCCCGTTTTCTCTGTGTGTGCATATGTGTTTCAAAATAATAAAAAACAATTGAAAAGGGAGGAAAGAAATTTTACCTTAGTGTTGTGAGCTTTAACTGCCGGAGTGATTGTCCTCATCTTTAAGGGACTAGGTGGTCAGTTCCGAAACAGTGAGTCTTGAGTAAATTCTAAAATGATTCGGATGAGATGATTAGATTAAAGCAAAATAAAAATATAAATAAAGAGTGAAATATAGTTTCGATTTAGTTTACCTTATGGTGTTTGGGTCTTTGCTGAAAAAGATGAGAGTCATCGTGGATGAGAGCATCGCCGTTTAAGAAATAGGGAAGGGTTAGTAAGTCTTACCTGGTTAATGTGGTATGTGGTCGGAGCAAGGAATCCTTAGAGAAGCTGTCGGCGTTGTGAGAGTTAACCTTGAGCTTCTCGGGTATGGGAAGTAGAAGATAGAGTTGAGATTTCTTTGAAGTTGAAAACGGTTGGATAGTTAGTTTAAGTATTAGGTTTAGGATAAAGTTAGATTTTTATTAAAATATTTGAAATAATTATTTTTAGATCACTTGTACATTTACCTTGGAAATTGATTCTTGTTCATATACATATATTGTTTAAACGTGTCTTAGGAAGAATAACCATTGTTTTTGTTTAACATATAGCTTAGTTGGATATTTGTTAAACGTGTATATATATATATATATATAATATATATATATATATATATATTTAATGTGTCTTGGAAACTGATTTTTTTGTTCATATATATATATATTTGTTAACATGTCTTGGAAATTGATTCTTTGTTCGTATACATATATATTTGTTTAACGTGTCTTAGGAAGAATACCATTGTTTATTTGTTTAACATATAGCTTAGTTGGATATTTGTTAAACGTATATTATATATATATATATATATATATATATATTTAATGTGTCTTGGAAAACTGATTTTTTTTGTTCATATATATATATATATTTGTTTAACCTATCTTGGAAACTGATTCTTTGTTCATATACATATATATTTGTTTAATGTGTCTTAGGAAGAATAGCCATTATTTATTGTTTAACATATAGCTTAGTTGGATATTTGTTAAACGTGTATATATATATATATATATATATATATATATATATATATATATATATATATATATATATATATTTAATGTGTCTTGGAAACTTTTTTTGTTCATATATATATATATTGTTTAAACATGTCTTGGAAACTGATTCTTTGTTCATATACATATATATTTGTTTAATGTGTCTTAGGAAGAATAGCCATTATTTATTTGTTTAACATATAGCTTAGTTGGATATTTGAAACGTATATAGAATAGCCATTATTTATTTGTTTAACATATAGCTAGTTGGATATTTGTTAAACGTATATATATAGTTATTTAATGTGTCTTGGAAACTGATTTTTTGTTCATATATATATATATATATATATATAGATATATATATATATTTTATTTAATGTGTCTTGGAAACTGATTTTTTTTGTTCATATATATATATATTTGTTTAACATGTCTTAGGAAGAATAGGCATATTTTATTTGTTTAACGTATAGCTTAGCTGGATATATAATTATTTTAGATTTATAGAGTATATTTAATTAGCCCATGCTGATCAATTTTAATATATTTTTATTATTAGATGTATACTTGTATTTACTTTTATATTCTTTATATCATTTATTTAATAAGTATAGTTATCATTTATTTAAGTATAATGTTCCATTACTTATTCATAATATGCTACATATTGTAAGATAGTTAATAAATTCATATAGTAACTTACATATACTTGTGTATTCTACATCGAATTAATCTTTATTTTTAATATTGAGTAGTTATGGTCAAACGTTTAAACTTATTTATAGTAATCATATATAAGATATAGTTTATATCTAATAATGTATATAATTTTTAGAATGTCATGGTAATTTTCATGAGTTAAATATCATTTGTTTTATTTAATTAATTTTTTTATGATATCTTTATGTGCATAACCGACATTTACATGTTTTAGTCATTGTTTAATTTCATTTAATTGCAATTTAGACTTCAAGTTTTTGATTTGTTGCATTTTAGTTCTTATAAGTTTAACTACTTATTTTATTTTTTTCTTTAAGTTATTAATTTGAAGTAAATTAATTAAATTCCAATAAATGGATCATATTTTAACTTGATATTTGATTCAGAATTTCCACCATTTACGACAATGTGTAAGCGACACAGTACCAATTTTGGGCGCTGTGGGGGTGCTAATCCTTCCCCACACGTAACCCGACTCCCGAACCCCATTTTAATCGAATCTTTGGAAAACGCATACCAACTTTTGTCTTAAAAAATGATTTTTCTTAAATTATTTTTTAAAAGACGTTTTAGGTATTCGACCTACCTAACCCAAGGTGGATGGCGACTCTTTTCAATTTAATTCAAATTAATCCAAAATCACCCCATTTTCCAAAATTAAAAGTCATAACTGTTTTTAAAACAATTTAAGGAAAACGGTTACGACAAGATGCATATTACATAGAAATTAATTAATAATCAAGGAAACCTTTAGGATAGTGTTTAGTCTCCTTAACCCCACGTGGGATAAGTGAAGTTATATTCTTCTTCATATTAGAAAAACCACCATTGAAAGAGAGCTTTTAAAGCTTTTTGCGTGGAAACTCTAAAATTTCCCTAAACTTGTAATGTAAACCCAAATCGAAATTATATTGTTAAAGCTCAAACTATTATCTATCAATTGGTGTCATTCATTTCATCATCTAAGTAGAATAAGTGAAACCCTAAACCTATTTAGATATTTATGAAAGTATCGATTTGATGATGAATATTACTTTGAATTTGTGTTAGAAAAAGAGCCTTTGGTGGAACGTTCCAAAGTTAGGGGAAAGCTAAAGTCACCTTAACCTTCCAGAGTTTGGTTGATCTAATGCAGAATTCTCTTATAATTTTATCACTGATTATGGTAAATTCTTCTCTTATATCTGTAATGTTTATTTACTCGCCGTTATCATCCTAACTATAGAAACATATATCTTTGTGTTGGATATGACTGTTCTCTCCAAATGACCTAGAACAAGAAGATGAATTTGATCCATTTATGTTTTGCTGATTTGAGTTCTAGAAAAGAGTTTGTTTTTCGTATTTATCTTCCAATTAATTTAATTTAACTTGTAATAAAAATACTTATAAATAATCACTTTTGAAAAAAAAACTCTAAATATTTACAATTTTTATTTATCTTATAATTAATTTAAAATAATTGAAAATAAAATAATAACACGTGATATGATTTAAATTATAAAATCATATACTCATACTTAGTTATAAATAATTAACGATGATGTAACCTTCAATTAAAAAAGTTTTAATTGACAAGTGACAATTTATAATTAATCCACATCTGAATTGCATTATATTAATATCATTAGTTAAGGTAGTTGCTCGCTTATCTTGTTTGAATGGCCTAGAATTTAGAAAGAGAACCCTTGATTTAAATATTGATCAATTATGTTTGTCCCTTTATTAGATTTTAGGGTAACTACATGGGTGACCATTAATTATTAGAAACTTTATTTTAACCATTGAGTTTTAATTTTAACAATTAGATCATTTAAGTATTTAAACAAAATCAGTCAATTTACACGTCTTGAATATTTTACGATGGAGTTGATGTGATAGTTAATAAAATTAGTATAACTACATATTTGGTCCTCATAATTTATATATTTTATCAATTTAGTCTTAATTTTAATTTAATTTAATAAAATTCAGATGATAACACGTGTCACGATTTGATTGAAGGATTTTTCTTTTTCTTAATTTTAATTAATTTAATTTCCTCTAATCTAATGGTGTCACATTTAAAATATAAAATATATTTCTTAAATCTTACATTAATTATATATATATATAATGTATTCATCTATAAATCAATTATTATACTTGTTCAAGTGGTTTAGGTGCTCCCATGCGTCTCCATTGTTCCCTGGTTTGAATCTTTACTTGGTTTACAAATGTTTTAATCTATAAGTTAAATGTGAGATTTGGCCCAATGATTAGAGCATATCTCATTCTCCTCAAGTTTTCAGGTTACCAATTTTATTAATTGTGACATCAGTTCATTGATCAAATATTAATGGTATGTAGTTTAATTTGTATCATTTAAAATAATGACGTGATCTGATTGATAAAATTAAAAAATTAATGATCAAATCAAAATGTTCCCATCATTAAGTGTTCATTAATGTAATTTATACCCTTAGATTTTTCTTTAGTTTGTTTTTCTAGAGGATGCAATTGCAAGTATTGCAACTAAATTTAAAAAGTTAACTATTGAGATTTTTATTTTTAAGTCAAAATTTTTTTTTTGAAAAAAGTCTGACATGATTATAAGATAGTATATGTTTATAATTTTATTAATCAATGGACAGACATCAAATATTTTATAGACATGATTACTTAAATTCGAACTTTTAAAAAGAACAACATTATTTTTTATACTGAAGCCAATTATAAATAACTAATATATTCAAATATATTAAAATAAGATTTAATTGTTATAAAATAAGAATTAGATTCTGAGCCTTAAAAAACCCCATCATGAAGAAACCATAACAAATGAAACCAACTCAGCTAATTACCTAAAAAAACTGGTTTCACCCATTAAATTAGAAGCAGAAGCCATCGAGCTGGTCGTAGAAATCCATTTCTCTATAAAGAAATGGAAACTCAGCAGATTCATACCCAGCAGAATCCAAAGAACTACTGGTATTTATGTTAGAATTTTCCCAGAAAAATGGTTCGGTCCAGAAACTTCCACTGTCTATCTCAAATGCTTCAAACAAAGCCTTGTTATCATCATCTGTAACCGAGTCTTTGCTGGACTCAACCGTGTTATCTTTGGTGTCGGAGGAGAATTGGTCGCTTGAAGCTGGTTGTTCCGGCGAATATGATAACGAGCTTTCCAGAATTAATGGAGGACTTGAAGGATTAATTACAAGCTTTGTTTCTTCTTTCTCTTCACTTCTCCCGCGCTTCACGTGTAATTCACTGTCATCTTTTGATTCCAATGATTTGTCCTTGAAGAGTTTCTTGAGATTCGTATTCCAATGGTTCTTCACCTCGTTGTCTGTTCGACCAGGCAACTGTCCAGCAATGGCGGACCACTTGTTTCCCAGCGATTCATGTAATCTGATGATCGTCTCTTCTTCTTCCTTGCTGTAATTCCCTCTTTTCACGTTCGGCCTTAAATAATTCAGCCATCGAAGCCTGCAACTCTTCCCACACCTTTGCAGACCTGAAACACGAAGGATCCAAATATAAATACAACAATCCCCCATAAAATTACAGTAATATCATATGTAACGCATGATTTTATATTAGAGATGTAAACTTAAGAATTTATATTAAAACTTTTAAGATACGATCGTACTCCAACATCCCCACCATCCATCTAAGATCATACGGCACATTACCTGCATACTTGGGGAGTTGTCGCCAATTCCAGTAGCCATATCTGGTGACATAGGCTTTCAGTTTCCTATCTTCCTCGGGCGTCCATGTTCCTTTCCTCAGTCCACTCTTATCACATGAAGGTGTTCTCGCCATGTTTCCTTGCCTTTGTCCCTTTGATTTCTATTTTTCAAGCTCCAAACTTCAAAAGTTGCAGCAATTTATACTCTCCCATGCTTTGGACCAAAACGTGCTACACGTTTCGATTTCGAAATTTTTAATAATATTTTTTACATCATTACAAAACATCCAGGAAGGTTCAGCAGATGTCGCTTTCAGTGTTTGATCATAGTCAAAATTATGTATTATGTCAGATTGATAACTTCGCATTAATTAATACATATCTAACCTTCGAGGAAGGAAGAAGCAACAAAACGTGATGTGTGCACACGATCATTTCGATGAAGGTCAGTTTTAGTTTCATCAGCAGCAGTAAATTCAGCACGTTATTTTTAGCTTCTGATTGTTTCGTGAATAAGCTCTGTTGTTTTGAGCTTGAAAATCGCTCTAAATCTTGTACAGAGTTCCATTTCTGTATGCTGCTTTAAGAAACTGAGACAATATCTAGATTTAACTATCTGTTATGTTTTCCATGATGAATAGCTTCATGTTATCCGTACCAATTATGGGATTTCAATAATAAAACTCATTCGGTGGTTTGAGTGATAATAAAAATGTTGTTTTTTTAAAAATTTTAAATTCGAACATCTGCATTTTGTAGGGTGTGTATGTTTACTATTAGTTAATTTTTTTAATAAATACCCATCTTATAATACCCAAATTATTAAAAAATAAATCTAATTTAATTTTTTACTAGCTTATTTCATTTAACAAAAATTTAAATTGAATAATTATTTTAAACTTTAGAATTATAATATGACGTTTTTAGAAGTGGAAAGTAGGGCTGTAAACGAGTCGAATTGAGCTTGAGTATTGCTGAGATTGACTCGACTTAAAAACTCTAAAATGTAACTCGACTCGGCTCGAAAAATTGCGAGTCTAAAATTTTCAAACTCGACTCAAACTCGAAACCATAAATTGAAACTCGAAAAAGGTCAAAATAAAAAAAAATCTTAACCTTAACTTGATTGAAACTCAAACTCGAATTTGAATCTGAACCTTAAGTACATGAAAACCTTATACTATATTTTTTATAAAAAAATCACTACATAAATATTAATATTATTGATAATTATTTTTTAAATAAATTTTTAATATATTATTTTTTTGAATTACTCACGAGTTTTTTGAGTCAAGTATTAAATAACACATTTCACTAATTAAGAACTCGAGTTAAACTCAAACTTAAACCAAATCTATTTTAGTTGAGTATTTATTAAATTTTAATCAATTTAATTTTAAATAACTCATAATTAGTCTCGTCTTTTTTACTACCATAGTCAGAAGTTGCGTCTCCATATTTCTTCTCAAAGGAAAAAAAAAAGTAAAAAAGGAAAAAGAGATATGCCCATTCTAGACATTTCCATCTTTAAAACTGGTCAAAAAGTACACGTGTTCAGTTGCTTACATTCATGCTCTTTTACTTCTTTCGCTCCCATCATTAAATTGTTTATTTTCAAGTTTAATGAAGTTTTGAGTCTAAGGAATATCATAGGGATCAAGTAATTTCTCTAAATGATTTAAATATTATTTATAAGAGTAAACATTATCAATATAAATATTTAAAGAAACCGTTTTGCTCAAGAATTGATTCGTTTATTTCATTTATTTAATTTTATAATTGAAGAAGAGACAGTTAGGCTGTTAAAAGGTGGATGTCAAAATAGTATATAATTTGATATTTGCTCTTCTTTCTTTCTCTTTTCTTTTGTCTTTTAGAATCTGAAAAAAACTGTCATGCAAAAGGTAAAGAGACGCCAATGATACAGTCACTGTCCAAACAAAAGTGAAAGTGATGAATATTAGCGTAAACTCCACGTTTCTTTTCTTTTTCTTTTTACCTTCTTTCTGAATCACGTTTAGCACCAGTCATGAGTCAACTCGTAATTTTCTCAGATTCACATCCCCGGAAACAAGTAGGAATCAGCTTACAGGAAGCTGCTTGAGTGACCTTTTTATATTTTTAGATAAAATTAATATAAAAATAAGCGTCTCAATTATACTTTAAGTTAATTTAGAGTGATAATAATAAAGTTAAGGTTAAAATTAGAGATTTGAGTATTAGATTTAAAGATTTAATTTTGATTTATTGATTTAGGGAGATTGAGACAACGGTAAGAGGAATGATGGACAGTAAAAGTATGACGATTGGTAAGTGAATAATGATGATGGTGACAATAGCTGATAATAGGAGAATGAGAGATTCTAGGGATGTAATATTTTTTTTTGTAATTTCAGAAAACTTTGATTTTTTTTTAAATTAATGATATTATTATTTTTTAAAAAAATGATATGTGTCATTTAACATTTTTAAATGTTGTTACAATATAGACCTTTAGAATTGTAATAGAGAAAACGTTATAAACTTAATTTTAACAAAAAATTCTTTAAACACCTAAAATTAACTTATAATATAGTTTAGATACCTATTTTTACATTAAGTATTTTATATATAATTCTTTAATATTTTTTATTTTAAAAAATAAAAATTTTAACCAAAATATCTGATAAACTTAGTTTACCGAACCAAATTTCTTAGTTTCTAGATCTCTATCATTAAATTATTCAAATATTATCATAAAATAATTAAATATAAAAATAACACATAGTTAATATGACACCTTGTAATGTCATGTATAATAAAAACACATCCAATAAACTAATGTTAGAAGTATTATTACATGATGTAAAGATATGACAAACTAAACGTGTCTTTTGTGGATTTAAATTTATTTTAAATAAAAGAATAATTACAAACAATTAAAAGAAAAGAAAAAAAAATTAATATATTCAGGAGAAAAATTATACAAATTTTATTAAAACAATGTGTAGGTTAAAACAATGACGAGAAGTATATTTATGAGCTTTATTTTCAATTATTCAATTAGTGTATAAGCTTTAAAGAAGAAATATTTTTTATTTTTGATTTTTGATTTTTTTTGAATATGACAAATTTATTTATTTTTCAAATAATTTATAATTTATACATTTTATCAATTATTACAAGTATTGCACTAAATAATTAAAATCAATCCATGTAAGTATTGAACTATACACATAACCAATTCTAATTGAAACTAGAACTATAACGATTATAAAATCCACACATGATTAATGAAATGCTTGAATATGAGTTCTTAACAACCTAGAATTTTAGCCTTTGTCAACTATGCCAAAGTCTTATTGACAAATTACAATTTTGTGATTATATTAATTAATATATATTAGAATTAAAAACAGAATGATCTAATTATATAATTAATTGTTCACACTAAATTAAATTAACTAGAGGTCCCACTTATTATTTATATTAAGTGAGATTTCAATATGAGATTTCAAATGTCCAAAAAAATATAGATAAAGTTTTTGATTAAATTTAATTATAAAGTATATAAATCAATATATAATAAAATTTAATATATTTTAAATAACAATGAAAAAAAAGTCTATTGGATTGTAGCTTCAAATTTATATTAGATTTAACTAGGGGTGCTTAATGAGTTCACCAACTCGTGAGCAACTCGAATTAGACTCGATTAAAGCTCGATAAAACTCGACTCGAGATTACTCAACTTGAACTCGAGCTCGAATCGAGACCTTAACGAGTTGATTCGAGCAAGGTCCAACTCGACTCGATAAGTTCGCGAGCAACTCGTTAATTTTTTTGTATAATTTTTTCATTAGTTATCTTAAAAACATTGTTTCATTAAAATAATAATAATTTACTAATAGATAATAAAAAAGACGATGAATTGCTAATCTATTAATTTTCTAGTAAACAAAAAAATATATTAAATTATTAATTAATATTTTACTACACTAAAAAACTAAACCATATTTATTATTTTAATGTATTTGTGGATTGTTACTTTGGAGTTTTTACGAGCACGAGTCAAGCAAAAATTTAACGAGCAATGAGTCGAGTCGAGTAACAAATTTTTTTAACAAACACGAGTCGAACACTTTCCAACTCGCGATCAAACTCGCTCGATAAACACCCCTAGATCTAACTAGATTTGGCAAAAAACCATGGAGAAATCTATTATCATTCATCAAAGTCTAGAAGATAAGGCTAATGAAACCTACTATTTATTTAAAAAAAAAACATATTTTTAATTCATAAAAAATGTTTATTTAAAAAATTTTATTATGCTGGTCATCGTCCCAACCTAATCAAAACATGAAAGAAAATGAAGTAAAAGGACCCATAAAACACACACGAGGATAATGTTAAAATTTTGGTATTTAAATATTATAAATATCTATTAAATTCGTTGAATGAGAGCACAAGGCAAATATAAAAATACGTAGGTCCATGACTCTTACGTTGTCTACTTGTAATGTACTGACGTACTAGTTCCTGTTCGTATATTTGATTGCATGCATTATATAAATATCAATATAAATTTATATATATTTATATACGAACCAATATGATATTAGAGGTGGAGAATTTAGACCATTTTTCTTAAATGATCTGGAGTCAAGTTTAAAATAATGGTGATTATTGGCATGGAAGTTGGAACATAGCTGTTCAACGTCAAACAAGTGCACCTTTATTGTTGTTCTAGAAATATATAAAAATTGGTCTTTTTTTTTAGTTCAAAAGGACGAATCAACTTATTCAGTGGTTAAGAAATCATTATATTTGTATAGGTCGCGGGTTTGAGTACCAGCGACTGCAAGGGTTATTGACGTTCATTGTCAAATGGTTGAGAGTATTTAGAACATATTTTACTTTGTAATCATCTTAACTTAATAGAAAAAACAGACTTAACTCTAACTAAATTAAGATCGACATGTCTTAAAGATTCAATTAAGATCGTACATCGACCTAAGACTATTTCAGATAACTCTCGTATGTTGACTCGAAAATTAGAAAAGTTTCATATTACCACTCACACATTTTTATTCGAACTTAAAATCTAGGTTAAACTACACCCATGATCACTTAACTATGGTGGATTATATTGACCATCGATCATTCATTTTCAATCAAACCACGTAGCTATTTAAATATTGTTAATCAAACCACATACTATTAACATTTGACGGAAGAGCTGACGTATCAGTTAAATAGTAGGCAATGATCGTTAAGTAAAGTATGGCTTGAGTACGAAACTAACACAGATGATCGCTCAAAACGACCAACTACAACCTCTTAAGACTAAAACAATCATTTATGCCTTGAGAGCAGGAATAGATTGAGAGAGTACGGTTGGGGCAGTTACTCTCCATAAAAATTTTAATTATTATATTATATATATTTTTATATTTAACTATTTTAGCCTCCTAGAATTTATAATTCATCTCTAGAATCTTAGAAGTTTGTTGCTTAAAAAAATATTGCATCCGTCGAATTGTCCTTACTTGAGGTGACAATCATTGCGAATGATTTGGAGTACATTAAACATTTACGCAAATTCATACACGCAATGGGGAAGATTTCGTCACAAAAC